TTAAGGTCTTTATAGAAGCAACACTGTCGGCCACAACAGGATCCTTGTGCTTGGAGGCCCGGCAGCCAGCTCCTGCCACCTGGGAGGTCGTGGAAGCACACGAATTGCTCTCTGCAAGCATCCTCCTGCGGGAAGGGGATGCGCATGGAGTTTGCAAACGCCTCCAAAAAAAGCTGGGTTATGTAGGAGCTTGGAGGAAAAGTGAGTGGCTCCTCCATCGCCCTTGTGATCTGAAGCCCCGCAGTCAGTGGAGGAGGCGAGCTGGGGCATCACATGCTCTCAGTGGGGAGGAAATGAAAGCCAGGTTGAAAAAAAACTCCAAGCGCTGCTGGAGAATAAAAACCAGACACCCAGATAGCTAAAGCCACAAAGCAAAGCCTTCTCTGCACTGAAGCAATGCGGAAAAGAACAAGTCTTGCTGCTTGCAACTGCTTGCTCCAGTGAGCGTCGCGTGCATCAGGTCTCCTCCATGTGCCCATTTCCCCAGGCTGAACCAGCTGGATGTGGCCCCAGACATCAAAGTTCCCCTGTGCTCCATTGCAGGGATGAGTGGAAAAAGGGTGGAGGGTGCCTCACTGTGCTCAGCACCCACCCACCCACCCACCCATCACGGTGGTTGTGGCTCTTGGGTGCTGCTCCCCCAAACACCATCGGCCTTGGGGATGGCAGGAAGAGATTCCTATGGGAGCACGTGCATATGATGTATGGACAGAGGGACTGGTTCATGGTGTTTTTTCAGCCCCAACTCCTACCTCCAACACCGTTTTCTCTCCTCAGTCCTACTTTGGAGCTCTGTCAGCTGTTGGGAAGGTCCTCCCACGTCTCCAAAGCACCCAGTGAGTACCAACCCTACGTGACCTCATCCCCTGCACACCCTGTTGATGTTCACCACCATGAACAGCTGCTTCATGCTCCAGCTGGATTGGGTTTTGTTGCCTCTTATATACCCTTAAAACTTGTTGATGGTTCTGAACTAAAGCACCCTGGGGGGAAATTGAAGCCACCCTGGGAAGCTGCAAAATCAGATCTGCTCCCATGGGATGTGACTCCTGCTCCCGCGGGATGTCCCTCCTGCATCCCTGTCACACAGGGCACATTTCTGCCTCCCAGTTAGGTGGCTGGACATCTTACCAGCCAAGAAACAGTGAGAAGTGACCAAATGCCTATGGCCAGGTTGAATCAAGGCATCAGTTTGCACTTACATAGATTTAAATGAGCGTTCATGACCCTTTCCTCTCCCACCAACAACCATGAGGCAGGTCTGAAGGCTCAGCCCAACACATATCTGCAAACTTTCCCCTTTGCTTCCACTCAGGCTTTAAAAAAAAAAAAAAAAAAAAAAAAAAAGGCAAGAAAAAGAGATCTGATGTATTGCAGCTTGTCTCAAGCACTTCTACTGGTGTCCCCCGCACCACAGGCTTAAGCTGCACCCATGGGTGCAGTGCAGGGCTGTGCTGTGGCCACCCTTCCTGGTCCTTCTGTTCCCATATGGCATGCCTCCCTGCTAGACAACATGGAAATATTTTGAAAGCGTCTTAGAAACCTGCATCGCTGCCAAAACAGTTGAAAAATGAAGCCGTGAAGGGAAACGTGGGGCTCCTTTCCAGCTCGGCTCAAATGGGCATTGCCACTCGCCTCCATCTTCTGCGCTGCAGCTGCACAAATCATTCGTTTCTCAGCTGGATTTAAAACATCTGTCTCTTTCTGTGGCTTGTTGGAGCTGTTTTGGAGCTGGAAAATTGAGATTTGGGGGGAGGGAGGCTCTTGGTTTGGGTGCCCTGGGCAATAGGTGACCATCACCTGCATGAAGGATGGAAATTAATAAGGTGGGCTAGGGTGGACATCAGAGGGGAACAACCCTTCTCCCATCTCCCTCACACTCAAATTAGTGGAGAAAGGTGAGAAAATGCAAAAGAAGGGGACAAAAAGGCTTTTCCTTGCAGTGGGCAGTGAAACTGAGAAGCTCCTGCTTGCTAGAAGTTGCTGGGACTTCAACCAGGCGTGGAAAAGGTCCGATGGGAAGAGGACTCTCAAGGAGACCACTTCACTGTGCTAAACAAGCTTTGAGAAAACATCTGCCCTTGCTTGTTAAAGCATCCAGCAATGAGCCACCAACCAAAGCACTCACCCAGTCATAGTCGTAATTAATCACCTCTTGACATGAAAAAGCCGCCTGCCTCTTGTCTTGAGTTGTCTGGTTTTATCTTGTGGTGGAAGAGCTGTGGGTGTTCAGACCTCGGAGGATCAGGCTGGGGGAGGTGGCGCCAGGCAAGGGCTGCTGAGCAGCAGCAATCACCCCGTGGGCCAAAGCTCATGCAAGGACAGACAACAAATCTCTGGACAACATCCACCGTCTCCATCCATCATCTCTGGACATCATCCCTCTTTCAAAGGGAGCCAGGGCAAAGGATTTGGAGGATGAAACCAAGGTGCTATGATCCAGTTAACCCAACCCTTGCTCAAGAAGTGTCTCCAAGTCCCAGAGGTGGGCTTAGCTTGGCACCACACTGGCATCCCCACAGGGCACCGCTAAGCAGCATCACCAGTCTAAGCCTCTCCCAACAGCTCTGCCCAGGCATCTCCCTCCCTCTGTGCATGCAACAAGCTTCTCCGTCCTCCCTTATGAGCCCCAAATAGCTGCAACGTGATGTATTGTTTTCCCTCCTCGGACAAATTACATCAGAAGAAGGAAACAGGCATTATTTTTTTTGTTGTTGTTTTCTGGCATGGAGCTCCGTCAGCAAGATCTCTGCAGCACCATTTCCATGCCAGGTGTTCATATCCTCTTTGCACCAGCTAATGCCTCCTTAGCTGGCTGCTGCTTTCTGCTTCTAAATAACAGATGGCATCAGTGCCCTTTCCCTCCTCCCTTGGGGGCTTTATGGTCCCCCCCCGGCTATATCTAGGAGGCCCAAGGAGCCCCCACGTGAAATTGGATCCAGCTGCAGAAGGAGGATCTGGCTTACGCCCACAGACACAGATGGGGAATACACAGGGGAGCGCTGGGGCTCGCTCTGCTCTCGCAGCGATAGAAAACAACTGGGCCACCTGCACAAGATTTGGTTTGGTGGGGCTTGTTCTCCAGCCTCCTCCTGCCCAGAACCCCCCCAGTCCCCCCCCAAATTTGAAGGTTTTTCAGCCCAGGTGAGTGAGCACTGCCGGGGAGGTAGGGTTGAACCTGGCCACTGCTTCACTTGGGCATCAACCATCTGCAAGGAGAGGGCAGAAGGTGGTGGTGGCCCTCCATAGCTTCCTGCAACTTCTTGGGAGGCCGTGTGGTGCCAGGTCTCAGTGGGGACAGATCTCCGAGCAGCTCTGTAGGGTGTTGGGGGGATATAGGGGACACAATCTCCCCATCTCACACTCACAGCACCCAAACTCAACGTATTTCCTAGAAATGTAGGAGCCTTGAAGGACTCCTCTTCCACAGTATGGTCCAGTTTGTGCGTACTCTTCCGTAGATGTTTTGCATCCCATCAGAGGGATTTTGACAGGTCTGATACCCTCTGCAGGAGCTGGACCCCCATTTATGGTTGAACCCAGCCCCCAGCAGTTCACAGAAGACACGGCAAGGATCAACCCTCAAGCAAACCTTCTGCCACATCCTCCTGGCTCGAGCAATCTCTTCCCCAGATGAAAAGTCCCAATGTTGGGATGCAAGAGGTGCAGCATCTCCTTTCTCAAGGATTTACCTGTATCCCTGAGGAAGAAGCGTTTCACTGGCACATGGCTCCCAGGAAAATGAGTGGAGCAGGAGAAGCTGTGATGAATCAGGCCCCCCAGATTTACTCTTCCCCCACCCCAGGGTGTTCATGGCAAGGCAGCCGGTTTTGACTTGACAGCCTGCTGACTGCTTTGTGGGAACTGGTCCTGAGAGCTAAAATTAGAACCAAAACAAAAAGTCCCTTTACCATCTCATGTTCCCCCATCCCTCCACTTCCCCTGGCAATGAAGTTGGTTTGCGGTGAGGGATGTGCTGCAGGACATCACCTGGAGTGTACTGGTACAGTCCCTGGGCTCGATGGGGCACAGCTCAGTGTCACCCATGGCAGGACAGTGTCCAACATCAGGGTGGCCATGGCAGGAACCCCAAGCTGGGCTTGTCCCCCCAGTTCAGATCCTGGGACCCCCTTACCCTTGTGTGGCTGTTCTATGCCTCGGGTAAGGGACTCTGGGCCATGCCACCAGGGCAAGCTCCAGTCCTGGGGCACCACGGGTGCAGGGGGGGGTCACCAGGACACTCCTCGGAGGAGGCAGCTCCCTGGGGACCCTGGGACCACTGCAGATGGAGGGAGGTTGGGTGCAGTGGGGGTTACTGGCCCCAGCCCCGGGTGGGTGGGATCCAGGCCAGGTCCCAACCCTGACCCCACCCATGTTCCCACCCTTGGAGAGGGGGGGCTCCTGTCCTACCATCAGCCCTTGTCCCAGCCCCGGTGTGGGGAGATTCCTCTCCCAGTCCCTGTCCCCATCTCATTCATGGTCCCAAGCCAGGAGTGGGGACTCCTGTCCCAATCCCAACCCCGTTTCCAGCTCCGGTTCCCATCCCTGGGGTGGGAGTGGGGAGTGGTCGATCTCCGGTCCCAGTCCCAGCCCCAATCCCATCCGTGTTCCCACCCCTGGAGCGGGGCGGGGGTGTGTGTGTGTGTGTAGCTCATGTTTGAGCCCTAACCCCAACCCTATCCATGCTCCCATTCCCGGAGGGGGAACCGGGGGCGGGGGGGGGGGAGAGGGGGGGTGGTGGTTAAGGGGGGACCTGTCGCTCTCCTCTCCCATTCCCAGCCCCTAAACGGAGTGTCTGCCCCAAATCCCACCCATGATCCCATTCATGACCCCATCCCCGGAGTGTGGGGGGGGACTCCTGGCTCCTTCCCATCCCCGGGTGTGGGGGTGTGGAGGGGGGGGGCGGTCCCATCCCAGCCTCCAACCCAGTCCTGCCCCTCTCCCAGCCCCGGGGAGGGCGGTCCAGTCCCACGCCCGGCCTCCCCCGCCCCCCCGCCCCGGCCCGTTGACCGGTTGACACGCGACCGTGGGCAGCGAAACCGGGTCCGGGGTGGGGAGAGGGGGGTGTAAAGGGGGGGGTAGGATTGAGCCCCGGGCATGGAGCTGCCTCCGCCGCCCGCCTGAACTGAGAGGGACGATCGTGACGGGAGCCACCAGCCCGGCATCGCCCGGTGAGCGGGGCCGGGGGGGGGGGACGACACCGGAGTGGGTGTGTGTGGGGGTGCGTGTTCTGCCCACGCAGGAGGGTGTGCGGGGAAGAGGAAGGGGGGGGGAGTGCCGTGGGTGTGCAATGTGTGAACGCGGTGGGAGTGGGCACACGGGTGGGGGGGACACGCACACACGCACACACACGTGCCCACGCACACGGGTGGGTGTCATGGGTGACGCATTGTGTTCCCCCCCACCACACCCCCATGCGCCCAAACCAGGGGGCAAGGAGGCACTGCAAGGGCAGAACCGACCCCCCGTTCTCGTCCTCACTCCCCATGTACTGCACATAGTGCCACTCAAACTGCCCCAAAACCCTCAAACTGCCCCCAAAACGGAGTGGTCTCAGCAGCAGCAGGCAGCGAGCAGCTGGCATGGGCTGGTGCTGGCATGAATGGTTCAAACTGGGCGCTCCAGGAAACCTCCTGAGCTCCCTTTGCTCCTCTTCGCCCGAATTATTTGATTGCTTATGCATTAATTCTCAATAATCTCTTTTACTGCTTGGTGTCTCCCTTCCCGGGGGAATTTGCTGGCTGTTTATCAGGGGTTTCTTGTACACACCTCTGGTAAAAACCATGGAGCCGACTCCCTGCTTTACTCCAGCTTGTGTTTTTCCACCTCTTTGCATGCTGAGGTCCCTGTGTAATTTATTTGGGGGTGTTTTAATGTACACAGGGATTGATGAGTCTCTGGTTTCAACCCCTTTGACTCCTTGTAATAGTTTGTAACTCCAAAAACTCCTCCTTCCCCAGAGCTGGGCCGCATCACTGTAGGAGCAACTTTAAGGGCAAAAACTTTTCTTTCTCTTTCTGCTCCACTTATCAGCATATTGCAAAACCCATTTGGCAACCCTCTGCCTTCCTGTGCACAAAGCAGGGAGCTGCAAACCCTGTTCCCAGGGGGCCACTGGCGCTGGGGGATGGCTCACGGTTGCCAAAATTGGGCCATTTCATTACCAGCAGGCACGTGCCCTGAGTTTTTCTTCTTCATTTATACTTGAGCAAAGGGAACTTTGGCCTTCATCCTCACTGGCTGATGGGCTAAGGAGCTCCAGTACAAAGGGGGAGACCCCTAAATACGCTGCTGAGCCCTGGAGCGTGGCCACATCCCAGGGCTTAGTGGGTTATAAAACCCTGAGAAGTATTTTTTACTGTCCTGGCACCGAGTGGCTTCACCCTGTCTCTGCCTGATGTGATTTTTATCTCCAGTTATTGACACAAAGCCAAAGCCATGAATAGTTCACCGGCAGTGGAGCGTGCTGCCGGCCATGCCGCCATCCCTCCTTGATGCTGAACATCCCCTGTTAAAGCCTTAAGAGGAGCCAGCCCATGAAGAAAAAACCCTTTTGCTCCTGTGGGATGCTCCTTACAGAGGAGCAAATTGTCCCCCAAAGTCTGCTCCGCATGGGGTTTTCTGGGGTTTGGTGCTACTTTGGCTTCGCAGTAACTGCCGGTGCCATGGTCAAGCCCGATAATTGTGTTATCCCCAGCCTCGGATGCTGGTTATCTCCCAGATGGGCAGAACGCAGTTGGTTTTGCTGGGGGTGTGTGTGGGGGGGGGGGGGGGGGGGGCGGGGGTGGTGGTGTTGATGGGTAACTCCTTTGGTTTGGGCAGGAGGTTGCTAGGTGTCCATGGAAATATTTCTTCCAGTTATGAGGCTTGTAGGGTAAACCAGTTACCAAAAGCAGGTGACGAACCAGAAACTGGTCCCACGCTCCTCTCCTGGTGCGACCATTGCTTCCTCTGGTGAGCACCAGAAAATTGTGGAGGGCAAAACCGAAGTCAAATTCCTGGTATAAAAACCAGCACAGGGCTCCTTTCTATCTCCAGGAAGCCTAAAGGATCTGAGCAGCCCATTTTCCCCCTGCAGTACATAAAAATCAAGGTCTGGGGGCTCAAATAGGACCTGCCCCCAACCCTGTGGGATGCTTCAGGGTCTCCCAGGGCACAGGTGATGTAGGGATGCCGGGGAAAACCATGCAGGGAACATCACCTTTGCTGTAGCAAGAAGGGAAATGTTGATAAACAGCTTCAATATATTGGCCAGGGTGATATTTGCTTCCAGCAGGATCCTTCCCAAGTCCTGCCGTGCTGGGAATCGAGTCAGGTTCAACCAAACGAAGGCGGCTTTAATTATGCATGAGTGGCAGCACAGATGGGTTTAATGCTTTTATCTAATTCACTCTAAAGCCACATCTTTGGCTGATCCGGATTGACTTCCTGCGGTGTGGACAAAGGCAGGAGGTTTTGGTACTGCCTGGGAAGCAGAGGCTCGGAGGGAGATTGATTCAGGGAGGAATTCGGGGATTTTCTTGGGGGAAACCAGAAATTCCCAGAAAAAGTCATTTGACTCAAAGCAAAATACTTTATTTGACCTACAAACAAAATCATAAGGTTCTTTTTAAGTTGTTGTATCTTTCATCCAAACACCCTCTCCCCTTTTTAGCTTGGATCAAGTTACTGAAAAACCCCCTAGAAAACCAAAACTCCCCTAGAAAATTTCTTTTCACGGAGAAAACAAATTCAACTCTGCTGCTTCTCAGTCTGGGGCAGGAGGGGAGACTGAGCCATGGGGCTGCTTCAGTGTAGTATCTCCATTTCTGCCATCTGGAGCAGAGCTGCCCAGCACCCTCCAAGGTGCTTTTTTGGGGAAAATAAAAGAAACACATATTCTTTGCAAGCTTATTTTGAGAGGAATGAGGGTTTCTGGCTAATTTTGTGTTGGGAAAAGGGTTAGGTCAGACCTATGGGGCATAAAAGAGGGACATTGCCTGGGGCTCCGGGCAGGGAGATGGGTAAAGCCCTTTAGGCTGCTTAAAGCTTGGGTTTGGGTGTCTTGGAAATGGATCTTGGAGGTATCTTGCCTTGGGATTGCTGGGGAGTGATGCGGTTGGTGGGACCGGGACGTCTGGGGATGTCCTCAGCCCACGCCGGTGGCTGGAGCCAGCCCGGAGGAGAAAGGCATTCTAAAGGTCACTGCAGCGGAAAGGAGCCAAATGGAAAGGGCAGATGAAAACCAGGCAGTTTGGCCAGGCTCAGATTTCAGCCTGGTGCCATCTCACGTCTTCCAACCAGACAGGCTCGGTAGCATCTGAACACGCCGTCTGTTTGCTTTAGGTTGCGGAGGGTTTCAACCATGGTCCCAAAGGAGAGAAAAATGATGCCAGGTTGTTTGCTTCCCAGCATCTTGAGTAGTCCCTGATGCAGAGTGAGGGTTTTGATGAGTCTACTATAAATTAGGGCAGGGAAAACACCCACGCTCTCCTTGTGTCCGTTGCAAAGGAGTCGGGGGGGAAGATGCGGTAAATGGATTGTGGTTTCGACCTCCAGAGTGAAATGATGGGAGCTGTGCTCGCAGTCAGTGTGTCTGCACCACGCGGGTTTGATTTCTCAGAGCTTCCCACCAGCAGAATGACAGGCTGCATCTGTGAGGTCCTGCCAGTAAATTAATCCACCTTAATTATTTGGGAAGGTCAATTAAACCTCATCAACCCCCCGTGAAAAACGCATTCATCACAGACGTGATTTGGTTGCGCTTTGTTTGCTTGCTTGACTTTGCTTCTGCTGGCAGGTTCCCAGGCACGAAACACCACGAGATGGATAGTGACCACTGGGATAGCACCAGGAATGCTGAAAAATGAGGCAGAAACCAGGATTAAGGCCCTTAACTCAGTAATTCAGTGTCCAACTCATGGTCCCCCTGTGCTGGCCCGGGGTGCTGCCCATCTCTTGGCTGCCGGTGACCTTCTCCAATGACAGCCCCCTCCTTCCCTGTATTGACTCATCTAAATATCCCCTGCCCGGGCAGGGTAGATACTGTTACAGGAGTGTTTTGGGATGCTGGCATCACATGCACATGCCTGTGGGTACATATATTTGAGGGCACATGGCTGCCAGGATTGCAACATCGATCTGCCTGGGCTCTACTCATCACAGGGCTCCTCTCCCATGCTGTCTTCAACCACTACAGCTGATGGCACCTGTTTTCTGGGGAGAAAAGACATGTCCTATGGGATAAACAGGTCTAAGACCACGCTACAAAGAGAGAGGTGGTCCAGCTGTTGCAACCAGGTTCATCCAGACCCAACACATGGTCCAGCACGGAGGAAGCTGGTTGGGGTGATGCCCTTATTTAGCATGGGTGGCTGGAGGGCACCTAAAAAGCTGTGCATGGTCACCTGCGTTCACCACCAGCAAAAAACCTCCTGCCGTGACCCTGGGAAGGGCCAGGAGAGCCACTGAAGCAGATACAGGTGGTCCTCACCAAAGCATCGTGGTGGGTTCACTTTTGGTAGTCATAGAAGTATTTATCCCGCTTGGCATCCTCAGGGATTGCTGTTGCTTTCTCCTCAATGCATCACTGTAAGAGCTGGCATTCGTGCCATCCGGCCCGTAGGCAGAGGAGAGGGCAGCTGCCAGCTTTTGTGCCTTCACACGCCTTGGCTGGCCATGTCCTCTCCGGCTCGCTCGCTGCGGATGCGGTGGGGCCAGGGGTGAGGGGGTGGACTGCAGCCACGGCCCAGACAGACACAGCAGGTTTTGTCCTAGTGATTCTGGGCAAAAGGAGGGGAAAAAAAGAAAAAAAAAGAAAGGCTTTTCCATTTCCAGAGGGAAGAGGAGGGAGAGCACGATGGCAAGGACAAGGCTGCCTTGTGAGAGGGGTTTTGTCTCCATGATTACACTGTTCAAGCCAACCAGAGCGCCCTGTTTGCTCCTTGTCCTGAAGATAGAGATGTGCATCTTGGCACATCCGTGGCCGCAGCATGGCCTGGGGCAGCCCGTCCTGCCCTGCACGCTGGAGGAGATACCCCCCACCTTGCCTTATGGATGGATTACAAATGCCTCGTTGGGTTTTTTAGCTGGAGTCACAGGAGTCTGCAGGGAGGTGGGTTAGAAGATGGAGTGATCTTGCCCCCTTTGGTGCTTCAACGCTGGGTGATGGGTTGTCTGCAGGGGACAGAGGGGATGCAGATGTAAAGGCATGGAGAAACCACGTGCAAGGCTGAAGTCTCTGGAGCTCTGTAACCCTTCCCTGTGCCTTTTGGGGTATCTTGTGTGGCTTCGCTCGGTCATGGTGGCTTGTCTGACCCATTTAATCAGCTGACAGGTCTGCAGGCAACCTCTGTCTTGTTGGCTACAGATCTGTAAAGATCAGAGGGGAGGAAGAAGTTGGGAAGAAGAGCATCTGGAAAGTGTTTTCCCATCTGCCTGAGCACTGTTAACCCTCAGTGGTAACACGTGGTGTTCCCCAGGGCTCAGTGCTGGGCCCAGTTCTGTTTAGTATCTTTATCAATGATCTGAGCAAAGGGATTGAGTGCACCCTCAGTAAATTCCTAGACGACACCAAGCTGGGCAGGAGTGTTGATCTGCTTGAGGGTAGAAAGGCTCTACAGAGGGACCTGGACAGGCCGGACCGATGGACTGAGGCCAATTGTATGAGGTTCTACAAGGCTCAGGGCTGGGTCCTGCACTTGGGGCACAACAACCCCACACAACGCTACAGGCTTGGGGCAGAGGGGCTGGAAAGCTGCCCAGGGGAAAAGCATCTGGGGGTGCTGGTTGACAACCAGCTGAATATGAGCCAGCAGTGTGACCAGGTGGCCAAGGAGGCCAACAGCATCCTGGCTTGTGTCAGCAAGAGTGTGGCCAGCAGGACCAGGGAAGGGATCGTCCCCCTGTACTCGGCACTGGGGAGGCCGCATCCCCAATACTGGGCTCAATTTTCTCTCCAGAAAGACCTTGAGGTGCTGGAGCGTGTCCAGAGAAGGGCAACAGAGCTGGGGAAGGGTCTGGAGCACAAGTGCTGTGAGGAGCAGCTGAGGGAACTGGGGGGGTTCAGCCTGGAGAAGAGGAGGCTGAGGGGAGACCTGATCGCTCTCTACAATGACCTAAAAGGAGGTTGGGGCGAGGTGGGGGTCGGTCTCTTCTCCCAAGCACCAAGAGATAGGACAAGAGGAAACGGCCTCAAGTTGTACCAAGGGAGGTTTAGATTGGATATCAGGAAAAATTTCTTCACTGAAAGGGTTGTCGAGCACTGGAACAGGCTGCCTCAGGGAAGTGGTTGAGTCACCATCCCTGGAGGTATTTAAAAGAGGTGTAGACATTGCACTTAGGGAGATGGATTAGTGGTGGACTTGGTAGTGTTGTGTTAATGGTTGGACTCGATGATCTTAAAGGTCTTTTCCAACCTAAACGACTCTGTGATTCTATGATTCTCTCCATCCACAGGGACAACCCTATTGCTGAGGTCTTGAGGGAAGCAGGATGATGGGACCAAGCTGAATCAGGTGCAGGGAAAGCAAAACTCTGGGGCCAGGACAGAGCAAGATCGGTCCTGGCTCTTCACGTTCATCGCAGAGTGGTTCCCAAAGTTATATTTGGGTTTTTGCAGATTAGTCAGGGTATGAGCGTGTGTGTGGTTTCTGCCCACGTCCTTGGGAAGCATGAGCCTCAGCCTGCACTGCTTGTGGTCTGCTCCAAGGGGAAAAGCAGCTAAATGGGGGAAATGTCATCAGGGATCATGTCAGTGCCACATCTGGACAGGTCATTTGATCCAGTCCCTGAAGCAAGGACTGGAGTTATCCCTGTGTGATGGGCTGGAGGCATCACTTCACCCCTTCTCCATCAGCTGTGTGTTGTCAAGGTGATTTTTAAAGCTGTAGTGCTTTGTTTTGGTGAGAGATCATCCAGGTTGGCCACTTCTGGGAGACTCTTCTTGCCTCTTTCCCTGCAGGATTTGAACTGGAGGTAGGTACAGGATAGGTCTGGGTCAAAACAATGCTTGTTTGCAAGAAAAGGCATACCCACGGCGTCCTGCAGTGTGGTGGCACCAGGCTACAGCTGAACTATTCATCTGAGAAGGCTCATATTGCTTTTTTTCCACCTCAAATCATGGTGAGATTTGGGTCAGGGCCCACCCCACATACTCATTCACAGGGCATCTTTACTCAAACCTTTTCTCTTGCTGTAGCTCCCACTCTCTGAGCTCCTGCACTAGGTTCATCTCCCTATAACCTCATTTCTGCATGCTCCCCGTAACAGGGCACAGTAGTGAGATCAAACTGTCTTCTTTTATGGGAAGGGATCCATTTTAATTTGATTCCTGGCTGATGGGCTTGCTGAGCGATCATGTGTCAGCTGGGTTGTGGGCTGTCCCCAATGAACAAAAGGGCCCTTGTCTCTCCTGACACAGACAGTGCCAGACTCTGTGTCTGCAGAGACTCTTTTGAGTTCATTTTTCTCATCTCAACTGGTCATTTTCATGCATAAATCAGCTTTGCATAAGCATGGGCAGACTTTCTGGTGGTGGTGATGCTGGAGGAGCAGGTCTCAAGGCCAGGAAGCAGGACCGGTGAGATGGCCACCATTAGCCCAACACTAAACCCATGAAAAACACATCATCATCATCAAAAAATAACCCAGGCAGAGCCTCTGTGGTGAACACGGTCTCTTTGGCAAGGTTTGTTTACAGGGGCCTCCAGATGTTGTGGTGATGTTTGCTCCAACAGAAGGAGCTGAGGATCTCCCAAATCAGGGCCCTGTCAGTCACGGGGATTGCTCACTGAAGAACACAGTTCTCTTTCCTTGCTCTTTCTGCCTGGGGTTTAGTAGGCCCCACCTTTCACGGTGCTCAGCTGAATCGCTTATGGATGGTTAAACACATAATGGAGAATCTTTCCTCTTCTATTGTGCAGGAGACCAAATTTCTGCGTGAACCTGGTGGGAAGGGTGGATTGGGACATTGAACTGGGCTGTAGAAGATCTGGGTTGGACTCCCAGGTGTGGTCTGAGACCTGTTAGTGACTTTAGAGCAGCTTAGTTCCTCCTCTGTGCTCCAAATGCAAAATGAGGATAAATAAAACTTTCTTATCTGCTTGACCATAAGTTCTCCATGCTTGGGACTACCTTGGTTTTGTCAACACCCAAAGAAATGAGGCCATGGTCTTGGTGGGTATGTGATGTGCTGGCAGGAGGCACACATTGCCACCTCTCGAGTCATTGTCACCCGCACTGAGATGGCAGTGCCTGTCAGAGAGCGAGCCGTGCTTGTGGGTGGCTTTTCGACAGACACAGGCAAGCATTGATACAACCTTGACTAGAGGACAAGGGAAGGGTAGAGTATTAATATATAGTAATAATGGCAGCGTGGACCATACATGTCACAGAATTGTGGCACTGAAGTTTTTCTCATCTAACCCGCCTCTTCCAGGGACTCCTCACCTCCATGTCCTTACAGCCTCTTTGCTTTTCCCCCAGGGTGATGGAGAACCTAACAACTCCTCTAGCCTGGACAAGAGTCATCAACAGCTCCTTGGACCCAGGTGGCGCAGGAGACAACACCTACAAGTGCATATTTGATGAGGACTTCAAGTATGTCCTGCTGCCTGTCTCCTATGGCATTGTGTGCGTGGTGGGGCTCTTTCTCAACCTACTGGCCCTCTACGTCTTCATCTTCAGGATCAAGACCTGGAATGCCTCCACCACATACATGTTCAACCTGGCCGTGTCCGACACACTCTATGTGGTCTCCCTGCCCCTCCTGGTGTATTATTATGCCATGGGGGACAACTGGCCCTTCGGCGTGGGCTTGTGTAAGATAGTTCGCTTCTTGTTTTACACCAACCTCTACTGCAGCATTCTTTTCCTCCTCTGCATCAGCGTCCATCGATTCCTGGGCATCTGCTTCCCACTGAAGTCACTGCAGTGGGGACACGTTCGCTATGCCCAGAGAGTGTCAGTCATCGTGTGGGTGGTGACCGTCGTGTGCCAGTCGCCCGTGCTCTTCTTTGTCACCACCAGCGTGAAGCGTGACACTATCACCTGCCACGACACGTCCAGCAAGGACCTCTTTGGCCAGTTTGTCATTTACAGTTTAGTGATGCTGGTGCTGCTCTTCTGCATCCCTTTCCTCATCATCATCATCTGCTACTGTCTAATGGCCCGGAGGCTGCTGCAGCCCACACGGGGGATCTCCCGGCTGTCCCGATCCAAAAAAAAGTCAGTCAAGATGATAATCATCGTCTTGATGGTCTTCATCATTTGTTTTCTTCCTTTCCATGTCACTCGTACCTTGTACTACTCCTTCCGGAGCTGGGACTTAAGCTGTCAGACTCTCAATGCTATCAATTTAGTCTATAAGGTGACTCGTCCCCTAGCTAGCACCAACAGCTGCTTGGATCCCATTTTGTATTTCTTAGCCGGACAACGATTTATGAAGTTTGCAGGCAGCAAGATGCCAGGGAAGCCTCAAAATGAAATGGCGCTGGGCATTGTGCCCAACAGTCACCTGGGAACCAGCAACGACACAGACACGTTATCCAAGGATGTGAAATCCTAGCGTTGCTCCAGCATGGCCAGCACTGTCTCCGTGACTGAAGGGTTCATCCCAGGTGAGAAGGGAGGTCAGGATGCTTCAGGGCCCAAGGCTTTTGGTGTTTGTGGTGCCTTGGCTTTCTCCCACTTCGGCATTGTCCGTGTTAAACGCGCTTCTCTGCTTGTTGCTGTTTCAAATGTGTTTTTTTTTTCAGGAAGATGCCGCTGTGGTTATACATACAAACCCTGTATCTCTGCCTCTTCATCCAAGCCTGTCTCTGTTCAGTGCTGAATAGCATCTCTCCACCACTGAGGCTGGGTGACCTCTATCACGGTGGCCAAATCTGCTAAAAAAAATTCACGCCCTCTACACCTTTCTAAAGCAGAAATGTTGCGTGCAAAATGTTCCCCTAAAGATATCCATCTGCCTTTCTTCAGATTCCCTTGCACAGAGGTAGCAAGGGTTTCTCTGTGCCTTAACAAGAGAGGAAAGGCTTTTGGTCAATGAGGAGCATCAGCTGCATTTCTGCTAAACAGGGCAATGAAAATGTCAACTGCAAATACCACCCGCAGCCGGAAAGGGTCTCCCACAGCTTTGCACCCCTGAAGAAATGCTCTCGCAGCTTCAAGCCCCGGCATCTGCTGGCAGAGCCAGGAGGGGATTCCCAGCTCCTGTCCGAGGACTAGCTTCCCATTAAAAAGGGTGCTGGTGGACCTTCCATCCCACTGGAGTTCACTGGTACCATCCCACTGGAGTTTAGTGGTACCATCATGTAGGTCCCCTGTAGGTTTCTCCAGTGAGGTCAGCATCTTCCAAGAGACCCATTAGTGCTTACCAACAGCAACTCTTGAAAAGCTTTTAGGAACCCATAGTTTTCTCTCAGCTGCTGACATTAATCATCATCTCAAGCTCATAAAAATTTAGGTTGAGCTCTTCATGTCTAGTTTTTAATCTTACTAGTGACTCATATTTCCATCAAAGAAGCAAAGACCGTTGCTCATCCCCTTGGGTGAGTGCTGCCACATCCTCATTTCTGCTCAGAGGTGACAGCCCTCTGTGACCTTTAGCAGCTTGGCATGACCCAAGTGCTGCTGTCTGGTCTCCCCGTAAACCCAGTAATCCCACTGCTCCACTGGAGACAGTCAGCATATCTCTTACTGACAGTGTAGACCTTCCCTGGGAAATTTGTCAGCGCTAAACCCTGGGTTTAGGAGCCATGCCAGTAAACGCAGTGCTAAACTTAATCCCAGCCCTGTCTGGATTTGGCCTTGCATCCCCCATCAGCCAGGACAGTTCAAAGTAAACTGGAGAAAATACCCACAAAACACTTCCCGAGAAAGTCCACTTGATCCTTGGACTTTCTCTCTGTAATTGTGGGGTTAGAGAGCCGAGAGCCAAGGTTTATGGTTTCCTTGCCCAGCTTTGCCACGAGGATGCTGATTCCTCACCCCAAAAATGAAAATTGCTTGTGCTGCAGCACTGGACAAGTTGTATTTTAGGACTGGCTCTATTTTAGGATTAGGCAAACACATTTGATCCTGGTTTAGACCAATTCCTCAGACATGTTCTTAGTTTCTCCCATGCCTCCTTCTTATGAAGTGGCTTGGTGGAGATAAAGACATGCTGCAACGTAACCAGCCGAGTTCAGACAAGGGTGACTAGGACCATCCAGGGTTAACTGGGAGGTTTCTGTGGTCCCGGCTCAGTGGAGCCGTGGTCCCATGGAGGGCTCTTGTCCCAGCCAACAATGTCCCAACCACAGGAGGCAAAGGAGGGGGGGACTGTCTCAGCTCTGAGCACCTTAGGCAAAGAAAATTAGGACATTTGTAGGGTAGTTCATCTCATCCTTGAGTGAACTTTTAGGATAGGGTTGAGTTAAGATAGGGCTTGCACCATGGTAGCACCTTTTTTTCCTTCTGTCTGTGAAGGGACCTTGGTTTTATGGGGAGGGTCACAGCGTAGTCACCAGGGCAAGACAAATAACTGGGAGAAATTCATTCAACCGAAGCACTGAACTGGTACAAACATTACTCCAGGCCAAGTCTTGCCTGGTCTCCCACGCTTGCCAAAAAGCAGCATGAACACCGAGTTACGTGCTCTGAATAATTCAGTAAAAATGTGCTCAAAGTTCAGTCCTGCGGTCCTGCTCGCCAATCCCACCTTTCTCCGAGCTGGCATCCGCTGGCTTCAAGCCACCACCTTGGACAACACTGCCGGTCCTATCAGAGGGTTCCTTTGTGGTCCCGATCCCACACAAGCTAGTGGCACTGTTCAGATGCAGAGCGGTCAGAGAGGTACCAACTGGAAATTTATCTATGGATTTGTTTGTTTGTTTGTAAAAGCACTAACTTATACTAAAAAAAAAAAAAAAAAAAAAAAAAAAGAGGGTTTGTGATAATGACTGTACATTTTTATTTTTGTAACATGCAAACACCTCAGATTTCTTAGAGTAAATAAATTTATTTCTACTATGAGCACTCTTCTGCTGTCTCCTCCAATATGTACAAAGGGGAGAGGATACCAGGGACAGAAACTGGGTTGTTGAATATCGTAGATGTGTTTCAAGCTCCAGATACAGCCGTCCACACAGGGGCTCCACAGTAGCTACCTCCAGCATCTGAACTCCTGTGGGAGTCCATGGAGGAGGTGGTCACCCAAAGAGACAGATCTTCTCATCCTTGCTCAAGGTGAGATGGAGCTGAGATGGAGAGGGCTGCTGGAGCACCCCTAAACCCAGCAGCTCACTGGGGAGGGTTTCACCTTATCTTGCTGCTGTCTTCTCTTTTCCAGAAAGCCCAGTAACATGTGCTTGTCCTGCATCCTTGCTTCTCAGAGACAGAAGGATCCAGAGGAGCAACTCAACTGTCTCAGATGAGAATTTGCTGCTGAGCCAGGTTGGAGCATCCTAGTACACCCCAGGATGGCACCTTATAGCTGGTCAGAGCAAACCTCTGGGCCTCAAAAGCCACCAAGGTCTTCAGTCCTCTGTCTAACACATCCCCAGTGGGGTCATGTATCTCCTTGCAGTGTGCCCATGGGCAGACCCTTACAGCACTACCCTGTAACTGCAACAGGCTGACCCCAAACCTCTGATTTCCCCCTTAGAGGTCTGGAAAAGATTCAGGCAGGGTGGAAAATGCCCCAGAAGAAACCACTGTTCCTGGAGTCTGTCAAGCAAAACCTCCTCCATGAATTCTCTTGAATTTAATGCTTGCAGGGGGATGATACCACCAGTTCTGGCAAAACCCAAGTGCAGAGACAGTTGTATGCTGAGGGCAGGGCTTTCCAGAGGCCAAAACCCCCAGTAGCATGACTAATTCAGTAGCCAGTCTTTTTGGTTGTATCACCATGGACTTGGTGGGTAGCTTCTCCTAGACTGCTTCTGCCAAAGACCAGAAGAAATTGCTAGATTAAGTAATTAATTAATAATTTCTAAGTAATTAATTTCCCATCCCATAGACCACATTTGTTTCTGGTTCACCCAGCAATTCACAGAGCTACCAGACCAAGAGATTTCACTCTATGTGCTGAAACCTCTTGTTCTCAAAGACTTCTTGCCTTCCCCTATAGACATCAGGAGAAGGTGAGCCTAATCATAGTCCCCATGATCAAATACGTTTTGTTTTCCATTTCAATTTATTTGCTGCTTGCTCCCAAGCCTGGCTTTTGCTGTGCCTTTTTCTACTGACGAAATGAGGCTCTTGGGACACACTCATCTCCACTGATGAATTTATTACAAACTGTGATCAAGTCACCTTGAAATATGCTTGGCAATAATCTGAGCAGCTTGAATTCCTTCACTCTCATCCTGAGATGATCAGATGTAAACTATCTTTTTTTAGTTTACACCTGATCTCCCAGCAATGTCTTTAAGATGCAGACACAGTAACTGCCTATCGCCCTGCAGTGTGGTACAGAAGCACTTTATGGTCCCCTGCACTATGAGAGAAAGCTCTGCTTTGGTTTCTCTTTTAAAGAACTTTCTAGCCCTTCTATTTGCCAAAACATGAAGACACAAAAGTATAAAGCCAAAGAAATAGCTGCAAGCCCCAAAACTGCTAAATTAGACATCCTGAAATACACTCGTTGAAAGAAAACCTCTTGATTTTCAGCCTAGGTTTTGGAGACCTACCCTGGGATAAATGCCATGTGGACCAAGGGCTTGTACATGAATAGCTTTAGCTCATGGGTTTTACAGCATCATACCTGTTTTTCCTGCAATGACTTCTGTGTGGCTCATGCCAGCGCTGACTTGTGTGAATCATTCAAACCCAAGAATGAGAACTAAGCAAGAATAATATCTATTGATGGGGAGCGCAGAGGTTATGCAGTTACTTCAGAGAAAACCCAAACCCACTTTTTCTAAATGTCTCTTAGCACTGGGAGAAGGAAGAGAAAGTTAAGAGCATTGATGGTTTCCTGCCAAGCAAACAAATCTGCTGCGTGGGCTGGAGGGATGCACAGTTCTGCTAGACCTTCCGAGCATCCAAGTACAGAGCTTTGCCTTCCCGATCATGCCTTTCTAGGAAGCAGATCTTAATCTGGCAGAGGCAGGCAGCGAGTCATGTTGTTACTGTAAGCTACTTGGTATGTCCACTTCTTTTTCAAGTAGTGAGATCTGGCATCATTTTTCTTCTAGTTTTCCTCTGTGGGGCTTGATTTTCTAAGGAACAAGTCTGCCTGCCCCTCCAAGTCATTTCTCATCTAGTGAGCCAATTCAATAGGGGCAAAGGCTCTGCACTATTGATCTACAAATCTCATAGAAAGCAGCTTGCTGTGCGAAAGAGCCAAAGGAGCCCTCACCCAACAGCTCAAACTTTATATTAGACAACACAGAATCCGCACCCACTTCCCCCACTCTATAGCCTGCAGTGGCTTGGGAAGGTGTCCATCACACCATCAGTGATGAGTGAGGAAAGGTGATAGATGGTGCCTCAAAACCCTTCAGGAGACCAACGCTGAGTTCAAACAAAGGGAGGAGATACCCAAATCCCACAAATTGACCAGATTATTGCAGAAATTCCCAAAAATGGATGGGCCAAGGCATCATTTTCTTTGGAAGAAACCAAACCTGTGGGTGTTTGAAATCACACGCCAATCACCCAGCTTTGTGAGGAGTTTATTTTAAGACTTTCACAGGTTTAATACCAATATTTGCAGACTCCTTGCCAAATAAATGCTCAGGAAAGCCTGAAAGTTTAAAATATTCTTTTCTTTTTTTCTTTTCTTTCTCCCCAAATACCTGCAATTTTAAGCACTGACTAAATGCCAACACCTTGGTATGTGTTTCGGGGAGCAGCTGGACTGTCAAACTGCAATGCACACATGCACACATATATAAGCGCGTATACGCACACGTATATAAGCACAGGAGAGGAGAAGAGTTTGAGCACTTGTGCCTGAGACCTGCCTGGTCCCTGCCCTCCCAAGAACACAGGACAGCATGCAAAACAGCCCTCCGTACCTCCCAAACCTCCTAATTTATACAAGAACAGCAACTCTTCAAATCATCCCTGCGAGCTGAAAGCTGCCTGGATGAGGCTGGTCACCCATGAGACGAGCTGCATGGTCTCAGCTTGGCACTGGAGGCTCCTGCCTTCACAGCAAAGGATGTGCCAAAGCAGCCCCTCCCCCCCCCCCCCCCCCAAAAAAAAAAAAAAAGAAAACCAAAAAAACTAAAACCCAAACATCTTGGCTGGGTGGGTTTTGCAGCCCATTTTATGCTGCTGGTGATAGAACAGAGTCCTCTGCCAGATTCTGCTCCTCCACTTATATCACCCGCAGTGAAAAGGCAACATGTCACAACCCCATTTCCAGCCTTCCACCCCCACAAATCCTGGGGGGAGCCCTGAGATGCCTTCAAACCACCAAACTCTCACCCTTGAACTGGGAAAGAAAAGGGTAAGGGGGTTCCAGTTGAGATCCCAGACAGTGGGATGACCAGTGAGAGACCTTGGAAGGCGATGGAAGATGCACGGAAGACTGCGGACTCCGGAGTGCAAAAACCTGCATCCTGTGCTGGTTTTTAATAGGGAAACCAGCTGAATAGGTTGAACCCTGCTGCAGCAGAGTCCTCTGCTGGTGCTAAGGGGATGTGGCAGCAAGGAGCAACAAGGGGTCCCCACGTCCACCTTGGGGGAGAAGGGGGGCCCCCATGGCACTGCTAACAATGCCTTAGGAACATCCTGGGACCACACCAAGGGATGGGAGCAGAGTCCCAAGCTAGAGGTGGGACCATTGGTATGCCAGTGGTGGGTCCCCATCCCTGTGCTGGGATTTCCCCCCAGGCACACATGGCCACCCAAGGCAGGGTCCTAGTTTTTATCCATGGGACCTTCCAGGGGATGGAGATGTTTTCTATCCGCTTTGGAGTTCCCCTTGCAAGAGCTGAGCCACAATGTGTGAGACGGACGGGGAATCAGCCTCTCTTCTCATGATCTGTGGTTTTAAGGACAAGGAAAGAGCCTGGTCACCATCTGCCTTTCATCCAGCCGCCCACCTGCCGTGCCAGCTCCATCACTGCCCACACGTAAAGGCTCGATGCTTGTTTAACATCATTTCATCCTTTTCTCATCAGAACTGGGCCAGGCAGGTTGGTAACTGGCTTGCCACCATTTGGAATGGAGCCCATGTGCATGGATGGAGGTGGAGGCCATTTGGGACCCACGTTGCAAAGGACCTTGGTATGTGTCCTTCACAAGGGGGTTTTCCCACCATCTCTGCGTTTGGAAACTGGTTCTATTTTGGAAGGATGTCCCATATCAGCCATTCACATGGGCTATGAACCATTCTGCACATCCTCACCCACGACTGGACTGCTGGAGGAGTCGTTCTGGTCCCCTGAGCACTCTTGCGATGCCATTCGTGAAGCTGTGAGCCCAGCACTGGGATGTGGGCTGCAAGACAAGTGCTGGCAAGTTCCTGCAAACCTCACCTGCTAGGACAGAAGAGGACACGACACCTTTCTGAAGACCTTCATTAGGTGAACAGCTCCACCACCCCCAGCCGGATGCGGTTCTTCTGCTTCGTGGCTGAATGCGTTTTGCAGCCTGGCAGCAGGACCAGATGCCACGTGGGTGCCAACACAGCCTGTTTGCAAATAGGGTGTGGCTGCAATGCCCTGGCTCTTCCTCACGGCCTGTTGAACGAGTCCATCTAGTTCCAAATGAGCAAAAGGGCCTAGACACCTTGGGAAGGGATTGTAAAGTAGGTCATAACTCTTGGGGGGCAGCTGGCTCTTTGGTATGATCCTGTCACTGCACTCTGCAATTTGCAGGGCCAAGTAGAAAGGCTGCAAGGAGGGGAAAGTGCTCAGGGGCTTGGCCACGTTCAGTTAGCAGAGCTTCTGGTCCTCCTTGGGCAAAGGATTCACCGATCTCAGCTTCCACGCCAGGAGAAAGGGACATTTCTGTGGCTTTTGGGGAGCTGTTGGACACCCCAAAGCCTGCTGCATGCCCTCATCCCTCTGTACAGGTTCCGTGATCACAAAGGGTGGATGCATTTCCCACAGTCCAGGTCCCCAGGCGAATGTATCCCACATGAGTGGACCTCCAAGCATCAGTGGAGGGCACAAGACTGGCTGCCCCTCCATGATCCCTATGGGAAACCAGGGGGCCTACTCTGGCAGAGTGTTGGTCTTGCCTCCATTGAGGCCTGGAGTCCATCAGGATAGGATCAGACAGGATCCAAGAAGGATCCGTGGAGGTCTTAGGCCCAACGCGTTTCTCAGAACAGGGATAGCTCCAAAATCAGAGTGTCTTGGACATGACTCAACACACCCCAGAGCTGCATCTCAATGGGGTCCATGGGTGCATGACCCAGAAATGCCTTTTCCTCTCTACTGCCTATCAAGAAAGCCTGACCAGACAGCTGGGAGTCAATAAATGACACAAATTGACCCCAAAGAGCCTCTGCGGCACTGCCAGGGCCCTGTGCTCATCAAGATGCTGGAACTTTGATGTCTCACCCCTCCAGCACCCTCCCAGGATTAGCTTGCAGGGCTGAGACTTAAAAATAACCCAACGGGGGCAGTGGGTGGGTGGGCATCACTGTCACCACACCATCACTAACGTCAGCTTTCCCAAACCCATCTGCACACTGATGCCGGGTGGGAGCCCCGTCCAGCACGCTGCGGCTGCGCAAAGGCATCCGAGAAACCATGGGGGTTTGCCAAAAAACTATCAAAAGCTCTGGAGCAGCCTCCTCGCTGATGCCTCCCCATCTGTTCTTCGTTAGGCAAATGAGCTGTGGGCTCGTGGCTGGGTGGTCTGGGCTTGGGGACCGCTCTGTGGTTGGCTCCTGGGGTGATGCACAAGGAGTGGGGGGCAATGACAGTGCTTGGGGGATGCAATTTTCAGGATTGTGGGCCTGGATCGAGCAGCATCCATATGGATGATGCCTCCAGCCAGGGCTGTGGGCAGCAGTGAGCGTCCGTGTCCTGTTGTTCTGGTTCCAGCTGGTAATTAATACCCCACTGTCCTGAGTCTCATCCAGACTTTCTGGGATCATTTCCTAGAAATTCATCATCCCCTCCCAGGCAATACTTCCCAGATGTTGCAACCCGTCTCCACATTTCAGCATCTGACTGGTGATGCGAGGCTCTCCTCTCCTCAGCATGAAGCCTGGAGGAAGAGCAGCACATTACAACAACCCTTTGTAGCATTGAAATCCCCCTCATCCCTAAAATATTTCCATTTTTTGCCCCAATTAGCAAAAGACTTCTGAGTTATGGTAACTCTTCAAGCATCTCCAGAAAGCAGCTGTGTTGAAACTTTATGTAAAAATTAATTTGTAGCAGCTGTTCTTCCTCCTGGTTGCCCATAGATGGAGGAAGAGAGCTTCACCCCTTTGGGTTCCCTCCTTCAGCAGTCTGGCTGATGAGGTTGCACCGTGTTTTGGGGCTCGCCTCCTCCCTACTTTGGCCCATCAGTTTTTTGGTTTGGGTGATTTAATGCCAAACATGGGAAAGTTGTTGGCCATGACCTGCATAAGGCCCTGCTACCCAATGCCATGCGAACCCACAAGGAAGAGATGGTCCCTCCAGGAGCCCACGTACCTTCTTGAGACACTCAAGATGCCACATGAAACATGGCCCCAGGATAAGCAAACACAACTCCTACCGGCCATGGATGTTTTGGTCAATCAGACAATACAGGACCCATCTTCTGGGTCCACATCTCATTAGGTTACTCCCTCACCACCCTGACCTGGGTGGCCACATCCAACCCACTGATGGGCATCCTGCAAAAGGGGTGCTTTGGAGGAGCCCAGGTCCAAACTATGCTGGCGATGGTGCGATGATTAATCTGGACATTTGCAGCCCAGGGGCATGGATCTGGCCAAAAATGTCCAAGGATACTGAGTCATGCCAGGTGAGCACCACAGATGGAGAGAAAGATTTCCCCCAAAGAGTTGTTCTGCTGCTTCAGAGACTGAAGTTAGTTAAGGATGGAGATATTTTGGGGAGAATAACTAAACTCCCAGAACATGCCATAATTTTGGGATATTTTTATTCTTTTCTTCCAAAATAGAGTGGTTTATTCAGGAGGTGCAGAAGTATTCCACTTGCCCCTTTCCTGATATGAAGCACTTAACTTTTCACTTCAAAAAGACAATTTTTCAACAAAAAAACCCACTCATCTTTTTTTTAAGGAAGCAAACCAAAATAGGCAAGGGTTAAAAAAACCCAACAGAAACTATTCACTTTGACCTCCCTTTGACCGAGATCATGTTTTCCTCCCAAATTTTGGTTCAACCACCCATTCGTAAAATGCCTCCTGCCCCACTCGGGCCGGCTTTGTGGGTTTTGTCCGGTTGTGAGTAAATGGGATTATTGTGAAACTGGTGGACGCACGCTTGACGTCGACACTGTGTGGGAGGAGGAATCAGTTAGAAGGCTGTAAGAAACCCGATTTAGTAGGAAAAAAGCAAGAGAAAGACTTTGTTGCTTCATTATCCTGCAGATAAAGCATTCACAAAAGCAGGGAAAGATAAAGCAATCCTTTTCCAGTAAGAGCAAATGTTTACCCTGCACGATGCAAACTGACCCCAGGTAATCTCAGGTTTAACGACATGGTTTAATACCGCTGAAAAGGGCTTCTTTTGTATTTCTCAGGCTGTCATCCAGAGATGTCCTACCTGCTGGGGGATTTCCTACAGGTATCTGAAGATATCCTGGTAACAACAGTGACTCTTCTTTAATGTGTTGTGAAATGTGTTATATATAAATATGTATTTTTATTTTTAAAAAAAATGTTGTGCATTTTTTAATATATAG